TATATATGAATGTAAAAGTGCTAACAGTAGATTTTGGCAAGATTTTAATAGTTTATATGAAGAAGTTTTAATTAATGAATTCAAAGGTCAGATTAAATATTTAAAACTCTTAAATCTTCTTGATCCAAAAGATTATAGTGTTCAAATAAAAGGTCATGAAAATGAAAATTTTTGCCCAAAAGTGATTAGATTTTCTGCAAATACAAATGTTAGATTTATTTATGATTTTTGTGAAGATAAAGAATTAAAAACTACATCAGAACAGAAATTTAATAATACAAAATTATTTAGTTTATTTGTAAATTGATTAGATTATATTGTAGAATTCAAGAAATTTAGAGAAGATAATGAAAAACTATGTTGAGAAAAATATTCTTGTTGTAAAATTCGAATGATCTTTCATAAAGGTTCACCTGAAAACTTTTTTAATTTTAATTTTGAAATCGAATTTAATCATGATATTACAGAAAAAAAAGCAAGAGAAATATTAGAAAATAAGTATAGTAGATTTGAAGAATTAGATAGTATTTATTATTGGAAAAAATATTACATGATTAATAAAAACAAATATATTCTTGGACAAATTGAACTGTATTATCCAAAAATTTATAATACTGAAAGAATATATTAAGAAAATACAGATGAATATAAAGTAATCAAAAGAAAAAATTTAAAGAAAAACTCTTTAGAATATAAGAATGGAATTCCTTCTGTTGAAATATCATTTCTAATAATATTACAAAAATTACAGAATAAAAAAACAAAAAAAGAAAGAAATCTTATATTCGAACATCTACCAAATCAAGATCAAAAGACTAGTATATCAACAGAATTATCAGATCTCTGAGAAGAATCAAGTAAAAGAAAACTATCAATTAATGAGTTAAATTATAATTCTGATTTACATTTAGATGATTCAGATTATACTTATAAAAGAAAAAAAGCAAATATATAGAAGAGCCAAAACAGATTAAACAAGAAAATAATAATTTTGATCAAGAACAGATTGAAATCTATCAAAATATTATTAATCAATAACAGTTTGAAATTTAACAAAATTATCAAGAATCACTTGATAAAAAGAAATCTAACTATACAGAAGATGATGATTTTAATTATAATGAAGATTTTGAATTAGATATAGCAGATAAAACAAGAGATGAAGAATTTAAAAGAACAAACAGAAATAATTCTCTTAATTTAAAATTCTTACGTATAATTCAAAAGTTATAAATTATTTTACTATATAGTTATTTTTTGATATTAAAAATATTTATAAATAGCAAACAAATAAATTTTTTTTTATTAATAAAATATATCAATTCCTAAAATAAATATATTGTAAAAACTTAAAATAACAAGCATAGGCGTTAATTTGAAAATCACGATCCCTAAAAACAACATATATAGTTTCAAAATAATGCTCTGTACGTATCGTGAAATAACACGCACCCCACTATGGAAGCCTTTATAAATGATTAAGAAAAAATTTTAGAAATTTTGAAACTAGACACTTGATTCAAAATAACACTCATGGGCGTACTCGAAATAATGCACAGATAGTCAAAGTAATGCACAGATGCTTATTATTTCAAGTTTTTACGATAATACAAGAAATATTATTTAATGAAAAAAATTGTATCAAATTTCTATTAAAAAACTAACTTATTAATAAACAACCAAATAGTTGCTTAAAATGTAACAATACAGAATTTTACTGTTGATATAATTTATAGATATGTAAAAACGCAAATTGTAACGAGACAATTTCAATATATCATAATTCATTTTTTAGTAAAAGATGTTTAAAAAGCAACCAGATCTTATTACTTAGCTATTTTTAGATTTCAAAAGCACGTTATACAACACTTAGACATTTAACGGGATTATCACCAAAATCAATTAAAAAATATACAAAAATATTTAGTAATTTAATAATAAACATATTAATAGCAGGCTAGAAGAAGAACATAAAATTGTAGAAATAGATGAATCTAAATTTAAAAAAGATATTTCATAGTGGGTTGTAGGATTAACCAAAAGAAAATCTAACAAATATTATTTTGAAGTTGTACAAGACAGAAATACAAATACTCTTACA